ACTGAAATAAATAGGCTGTAGAGGCAATTTTTGTTTTGATCAGATTCTATTGTCTGTGTGAAATGGCATCATTTCTCTGGGGCACTCAGATGCATTGCCCAGCAGGGGAGAAACCGTTAGGATAATAACAGTTCCACACACATCAGAGTAATAAGTATCTGCCGTTCTTCTCTCCCTCTTTCCAAATACACCACACACACACACACACACACACACACACACACACACACAAAACACACACACACGCTTGCACATGCATACACATATACACATGCATATTCACATAAGCACGCCATTGCACACATACATAGTCATATATTCATACCACACGCGCATGTATCATGCACACTCATGATATTAAATGAATAATGTCTACCAAACAAACATACCATTAGGGTCTTCAAAAGCGGATCTAAGAGACCGCTCAAGAACATGGCAATATATAGAGCTACAACTGTGATTTCTCTTTTCATCTCTGTCATGGATCTCAAAACCTGCCATTACATCTCATGCTAATCTGTGCCAATACGGTGGCATAACCTGAGATTTCTCAAACAATGTACTATATTTTAAAATAATGAGGTTGAAAAGACAAAACATGAGGCAAACAACTTAAATATTTACTGTCTGATTTGCCTTTTGGGTTTTGCTTTCTTCAGCTTCTTTTTCCCTCTCTCACCCAGCTCTTAAAAGTGTTTTGTATGCTCCTTCATTTTCATTGAGCATTATTATATTGACTAGCATCCTATTAGCTAGAAAGTTCTCTGAGATGTCAGAGAGGTATCTCTATAGTAATATCACCAGGGTTATTACCATTGAGAGTAATGAATTTGAAAGAGATTTCCTGGAAGAATCAGCTACAGGCACCCTAGATCCCATCACAAACAATGACCCCAAGGAGAAAGACAAAAAAGTAATGATTAAATAGTGTTAGGTCAATTAACTTTCCTTCCATAGTAATCATCTTATGAAATATAACAATTATGTTGTATTTTAATAAGTTCTGATGGTGTCCAAGGAGTTAGAACATTTTATAGTTATTTTTATAGTGAAAAAGCTGAGGCTTTTAAATACTATGAGATTTGGTAAAAGTCATTGAAGAAATTAAGTGTCCAGCCAGGATATTCTCTTTTATGACATGTCTGTGTCTTGCCCATTTTCTGTTGGGTTCCTTGTCTTTTCTATGTTATATTGTTTTCTTTATATATTAGTATGAGTCCTTTGTAAGTGAGATACATATTATATGTGTGTGTGTGTGTGTGTGTGTATATATGTACACACACACACACACACACACACACACACACATAAATGGCAAATATCTTCTACTCTGGTTTACTTTGTACTCTCTTAATGGTGTGTTTTGATAAAATAATGATGCTAATTTAAATGTTTTCCAGATTATTAGTCTTTTGCCTAATGGTCAGTGTTTTGTGACTGTGTAAGAAATTTTTGCCTAATGATATAATGGTCTTTTTCCATGTTACCTTTCAAATTTAGTTCTATAATCTACCTGGAATTTATATTTTCATATAGTGAAAATCCTTCAGTGTAGGTCTGTTGTTTTTCCCCCTGAACAAATTGTATTGTTTCCCTGAAACTTTATTTCAAATTGGAAGTTTGAAAGATTTTGCTAGGTATGAAATTTTACGTTAGCGATATTTTCTTTAAGTGCTTTGAAGATATCATTACATTGTCTCCGGATTCCATGATTTTTATTGAGATGTCATCTATAATTCCTATTGTTGCTATTTTGAAGTTAATGGGGTCTCTACTCCTAAATATATATTTTTTCTTTAACCTTGATTTTCTGCAGGTTTACACTGATTGGCCTGAATAAGATTTGCTTTGCATTAATTTTGCTTGGGTATCATAATACTCTTAAAGCAGTGGCTTGATATTTTCCATTCAGTTTGGGAAATTATCAGCCATTATCTTTTAAAATATTGCTTTTGCCCCATTACACATAAGATACACCCTATCGCATATGTCTGCTAATTCTTTTCATCTGTATTTTATTCTTTATATTTTCTAACTTAGCTTTCAGTTTGTAAATTCCTTCTTCAGCTGTGTCTAATTGCCACCAAATCCACCTATTGAATTCTAAACTTCAATTATTATATAATTTTCAGTTCTAGAATTTACATCTGACTTTTTTTATTTAGCGTCTAGTCCAGTTAACTTCTTTGCCATGAGAATTCTCCCTCTTGTCTCCCAATTCTTAAACACATTAACCATATTTTAAAGTTGTATCTACAAATAGATCTCTAACATGTCTCTCTATATATTGTCTTATTGTCTTGGTTTTCAGTGATCCATTCTTGTTCCTCAAGAATGACCGGTAATTTTTTATTGAATGCTAGACAGACACTATGTGCGAAAAATTGTAGAGATAACTTGAGCCTCTGGGTGGCCTTATCTTCTTCCAGAGAGGATTTATTTTTGTTTCTGAAAGGCTGGTAGGATTGAGTAGAGCACTGAAATCTAATCAGAGATTAAACTGATTAAAAGTAGGCCTCCCATTTTTTTTTTAAGAACTGGTCTATTTCAAGTTCATTGCCCCCCAAGTATAACCCACAGAAAACTCAAGGTACTTATCAGAGCACCTCTTCTTTGGTAGGCCCTGGCCTACAAGTTTTTCCTCTCTCCCCCCAAATCTCATTAAAAAACATCTGAAGGCTCTGTTAAACTTCTTTGTGTGTGGGATGTCAGGTTCACCATTTTTCACCTCCTCCAGCTTCTGCTGCTTTAATGGCTCTCTAGTGCCTTAATTTCCTCAAATAATCTGTTCAATGTTTCTAGCTGTTCTTGGTGGGAGTGTTGTTGTTCTACAGTATGATAGTCTACTTTAGGCAGAAATCCCTTTCTCTAGTTGTGGTATGCGGGCTTCTCACTGCACTGGCTTCTCTTGTTGTGGAGCATGGGCTCTAGGAGTGCAGGCTTCAGCAGTGGCTTGCGGACTCTAGAGCGCAGGCTCAGTAGTTGTGGCACACGGGCTTAGTAATGTGGGATTACTTCCCAGACCAGGGCTTGAACCTGTGTCTCCTGCATTAGCAGGCAGCTTCTTAACCACTGCACCACCAGAGGAGCCCCCTCAGTGTAATTTTAACTAACTTGCATTTTTTTTCGTTAGTAGCAAAGTGAATCACATTTTCACACAACTACAGGCCATTCTTATTTTTTAATTAACTTCCTGTTAGATTTCTTGCTCAATTTTCTATCCAATTATCAATCTTGTTTGTTTATGTTTAGAAGTACTTTATATATCAAAGATATTAACCCTTTGTCTATGATAAAAGGTATAAATAATTTTCCTCAACTGGTAATATTTCTTCTTTTAAACATTTCTTATGGTAGCTTTTCCACCCATAAGTGTGTGTTTATATAAAGTCAAATAGTTCCATTTTTTTCTAACTAACTACTTCTGTTTTGAGGCTTACTAGCAAAGACTTCCTGCTCCCAAGCTTAGAAAACTCCATCAGTAGTTTCTTCTGTAATTGTGTCTGTAAGGAACGTGTTGATGAGCAATTGTAAAATGGTCTATTTTCTAGAATTGACAGAGTGGCAAAAGATATGACATGGTTAAGTCCAGCTGGAAGATTCAAGTTTTGTTTTTGTTTTCCCAACCTCATCCTCAGGAACTTAGTGAAAAGAACTCATGGGCACAGTCACTTTCATGCTGTCCTTGTAGGACTTGGGTATCCATGAGTCATGTATCCATGAGTCATGTTTCCTTATGTTATCCCCTTCCTGACTTTTCTCATCCACTCTCATGTCATCAACAATATAACATTATTCTACATGGACATCTCCCAAATTCCCACATGTCTAATTCTCAGTTTTCTTCCTCAGCATTAGATGCAAAACTTGTTTGGCATCTCCACTTGTTTTATATATTGTCAAGTACTGACCTTCCATCCACCCAGGCTCAAAGATTAGTCACCTTACTTCTTGATTCTCAGCTTCAGTATATCATTACCAAGAGTACAAGTTAAAGGTATCTTTCTTTGAAGAGAGAGATTATACACTGGATCTTTCCTAGCCTTGCTCCATCCTAACAGAAAGGTCAGATTGAACCTTCTCTGGACTCAATAGGTATTCATGTAATGAAACTGAATTTAATCTTGTGTTTAAAAAAAGTACAGAAACAGTAAACACTTTTGAGGTTATGGACTCGTCTAGTACTTTCTATATTTGTATCTTCAAATGCCCTGGCTCTTCAAGCTGTGAAAACGTAATAGATATTTCACTAAGAAGTAAGAGATTATTGTCCTTTTGACTATCTGTAAATTTTCTCACAGTAAGAAATATGGATGTTAACTAGACTTATTATAGTGATCACTTTTTCTATATGTACAAATATCGGATCAAGAAAAACAGTCTCCTTACAACTACATTTAAGCATGTTATATAGCTTCAGCCACAGCAAGTGATGACAAGCCTTACGAAACTGTGTAAATAGAGAACAATTACAACAGAAATTAACTAAAGATGGGATTTTCAGCAATCCAAAATGGCAGCATCTGAGGTCTTCTAGGGGAGCAAATGAGCCATTCATTTGTGTTTAAACTTCACTGCCAGGAGAATGAATCTTTCGGCTTTCAGGCATGCCTGAGGCAAAATAGGTTTTCTTTTTTCATTCTCTTCAAAGTTTAAGCTACATAAACTCACACACAAATTTCCCCAAATTCAAATTGTGGGTTGTTCTGATTAAACCAAGTTTTGCTGCTTTCATGCTACCAGCTTTCTAATTTGAGAAATTGTGCATGTATGTATGTATGTGATTATCTCGCAAATTAGAGATATTAGAGAATTTAGAATATGACAGCACTGAAGTATTCAAGCAACTCAACCTACTATTTGCTCCTTCAGGCTTTTCTGCAAAAGAAGTTCAGTCCCAGGAGTATTTTTAAACTTAAGAGGGCAATGGAGGGTGACAGAACAATTGGCAGTCAGGCTGTTCTAATTCTCTATTAATCAAGGACTATCTTCTTTTTCAGCTCAAGGCGAGGACACACCTAGAGTTCCTGTGAAAAGCGAAGGCTCTGGTGACACAGAAAGTTCTACAAGTCCTGATGGTAAGTTTCTGAGCTATTTGAGTCACACAAACTACAAATCTGGCACATTTTCTCTGTGTAATCTAGGATTAAGGGAGCTGTCTATTCTGAGTCAACATATTCAGTTTGAACAAGGTAAAGTTCAAAAACCATTTTCTACTGGGAACTAACAAAATTGGCAGCCTTTTGAAAAAAAACAGCATGTGCCTCAGTTTAATCTTACTTCCCAATACCAAGGAAACTGGGTAATTCCAAGGCTAAACTGAAGTAAACAGCATTCAGAGGAGCCCTGGCTTGAGTTTGGGCTAAGGTTCTTCTTGGACCTTCATCACTTCACCTCACTGTATCACACATCAGATGGCTTGGCCAAAAACACAGTGAGAGTGAGTCTTTAAAAGTACTTTATAAATAAATTTACAAAAACCTTTTTTCAGTCACTTCTTACTTTGAAGGCATCTAGAAATTGTGAGCCTCAGGAATATTATAGCCTTGCCCCTGCACAATGATACTGGAAACCCTTTGAAATATCATCATTCAGAAAAACAACTATTTGAGCACACATGATTTCTAAATATTTAATTCCACTTGCCCACAGAGCTTAAGAGAACCAGAATTATTGTTCAGTGATCAACTGTTTATATATATATATTGTTGTTTGTTTGGGTTATTTGAGTTGATAATGACCTTGGGGAAATTTCAGCCACTGGTAGACGTTTACCTGGTGGTTTTAAATGGTTTCCTATACCATGCATTCCACCCTGCTACAAGGCTTGCCCTCACCTAATTGCCTCCCTTAATTATAAGCCCTTCTGCACCACCTGATTTTTTTAATTAAGTATTTTTTAAATTTTTTAAAAAGAATTTATACAAGGTCACTTTCCATTTATAGTTATTACAAAATATTGGCTATATTCCCCGTGTTCTAAAGTACATCTTTAAGCCTATCATACACCCAATACAAACTGATTTTTTTTTAACCCCTGGGCATGCCTTATCTAGGGGAATAATACTGTCAAACCCCAGATTAATCCATTAAAAGCCACCCCATGTTGGTGACGCTCAGTTGAATGAAACCTGCCCCAGCCTTGCTGTGACACTATAGGCACGGTTCTTAACTAGTTCTCTGCAAAGCATGTTCCAAAGAATACCAGATCCATGCAATGCTCAATGAATAAAAGGGAGATAAATGCGGGAAATCTTGGAGATTTGCCATGTACGTTCCAGGCTCTCCAAAGTCTCAGCTGTAAAGAAACTTCTTAACATCATTTAACATTGCTTTTCCCAAACTTACTTATTTGATCATGAAATGCTTTTCATACTAACATTTACTAGGTTTTGGAACTAGGGACCCTTGGGTTGGAGGAAGGAACAGAAAAGGAGCACTCACCCATATTTTTGTAGACCAGGATAGAAAGTGCATACATTATTCTTTTTTTAGAGGTACACTTCCTGTAACTGGCCAGTTTATACCTGGGGTAAAGAATGGGCTCACACATCATTAGAAACCAAGGCTACTTTGCAGGAGCAACAAAGAGACCTGCTTTTAAAACCTTCCTCCTTGAGAGAGAGTTGGGCGGGCTGCCATCCAATGTCATTCCCTCTTTCAAGTCGAGATCCAGCACCTGCCACTGTTTTTCTTGAACATGAAAACTTGATTAAAGTAAAAGAGATCTCGGGCTTCCCTGGTCGCGCAGTGGTTGAGAGTCCGCCTGCCGATGCAGGGGACACGGGTTCGTGCCCCGGTCCAGGAAGATCCCACGTGCCGCGGAGCGGCTAGTCCTGTGAGCCATGGCCGCTGAGCCTGCGCGTCGGGAGCCTGTGCTCCGCAACGGGAGAGGCCACAGCAGTGAGAGGCCCGCGTACCGCAAAAAAAAAAAAAAAAAAAAAAAAGTAAAATAGATTTGGATTGTTGCTTTTGTTCCAACAAATGAAGACATCCAAATGAGAACAAACAGAGGTTACTTATTCAGAGCTACCAAAGCATGGGTGTCACACAGCCATTATCACTTGTGTTTGGCCAGCTCAAAGGCAGGGAGGGAAGTGGGGAACTTCTAACAAGAGGGAAGACTTCAAGCATCCTCGATTGGAGGTTGCTGGTAAGGGGAAGCTGCACTTGGGATAACTAAAAGTGGCTGATTGATTGGTTTGGGAACATATTTGGCTTTCCCTTGCTGGTCCTGTGTTGGGAGCATGGAGTAAAATACAGGAAAGCTGGCAGTCACTGACCAAGTCCTGACCATTCTGAGCTGCTTGCTACAAAGGTTTGAAGTCAGAATTCTATTGTTATGTTTGGCCTAGCCATTGTTCATCTGTATAAGTCTTGCAGTTTATAATATGGGCTTTGATGCTTTAAAAATACCAACCTAATTAAACCTACTGACCCTTGAAAATTTCCAGTGTCTGCTATGCCTGCTCTGGGCTCCTTCTGGACAATGGTATTAATTAATTATGTGTGCTATTTGGATGCAAATGCTTACATACAACACACGGTAGAGTAAAAGCACACGTTTCATCATTGCTGTGCGATCTGGTTAGATGTTTTGCTTTTCTATTTCATGGTGTCCACTGCCAGTGCACCCACTGGCAAGTTTACAGTGTCAGTTTTGAATTTCAAAGTTTAAGACCTGGCAAACCAAGCAGGCCTACTGGCATTGCTGTTTTAGAGGGAGCTGCTTACCTCTCTGCACGTCAATGATCTGGTTTGCTTTGTTTCCTCTTTATTTTCATAGACATCTATTAAGGCCTTTGAATTTACCTAAGGATGGTAACAAATACACACAAAATATCAACCCAAAAATCTGGTATGAAATGACAACTCAGCTCCTACAGTTTAGTAAAGAAGCAACTCTGCCCTCCCCATTCCCCCACCAGTAAAAATCTATAAGAGTGGCCCCCAGATCTTGAATGAGTGAAAACAAACTGAAAGAAGTATAAGATAGGAAATCAGGAATGTAACAATTCACAGGCCATTTTAATATGTTTAAGAGATTTGGGTTTAACAAATCTTTAACCTTTTTGTTTTCCTTTCTGGTTTCAGTTGAAATGAATAATCAGGTTGACAGTGTAAATGACCCAACAGAGAGTCAGCAAGAAGACTGACTAACTAATAGGTAAGTTGCCTCTGTTACAAGATTTTCAGTTGATTAAACGGGCCAGCCATAGAAACTGTTTGTAAAAGGCATGTTGGATTCCCCTCAGTTCTAACCAGTCCCATGGATAGAACTTTTAAATGTTTAAAAGTTTAGCTCCAGACTAAACTTTTAAAATATTTATACCAAATAACATATTGTAAGAAACTTTTACCATCTTTAAAGGAAAAAGATAAGCTACAGCATATCCAGATCATGCAATACCCTGGTTTTCTGAGCTTTGATGACAAGAAAAAAAATTTTCCATGCATCTCACCTCCTGGCTTCCTGGAGTGATCAAATTATTTCAGTAACCCCAAGCTGATTCTGAAGGTTACCTGCTGAGTTGTTTGTTAGGCTTAAAAACAGATATACTAAACACTAAACTTTGCCCTGGAGAATGTGAAAGGCATTTGAGTGTATTTGGGCTGATAGAAGCCTGCCTTATGTCCCGTCCTCTCACACCACTACCTGTGGACCTGCACCTCTACACAAAGGTTTGTTGAGTTGAATGAGCCTCAGGGAATCCCACGGGAACATAAATGGGGCCAGATGATGTTTACGAGTTTTTCCAGACCAACAAACATTCTAAATCACTCAGCCAAGACTGAAGTATATCTAGAATAATGAGTGGTCTGTAACGCTTTTTTGTATCTTGAGGGCTGGAGAGAAGAATTAGAGAAAAGAAGCCAGCCTAGCTATTCTGATTCCTAGCTTAAAATACTAAGCTGTGAAAAAAAACTATGGGATAAATGAATTGTGCATCATCCAGGGCAAGACACAAATGTGTTGATGCGGTTGCCTCTGTCGACTGGAAAAAAAAAAAGCACAACCTAAAAGTTGAGAATTATGTTTTATTTGGTGGACCTTCTGAGGACTTCAAGCCTAGGATAGCTCTGCAGGACTGCTCTGAAGAGGTAAGGGGGGAAGCAGGAACTATAGGAGTTTTACAACAAAGACCAGGTAGTCGGAACATGAAAAGATTACTGTTAATTAAAGAAAACCAGATATCTCAAGTTAATGAATTTAGCCCTTTTCTACTTATGGGAAGATGCAAGAATCTGGGCTCTTTGGAAACCTTCCTTTGATATGCAGCTTAGCTATCTGGGGCCAGCATCCTGTTCCTTCCCATCCTGAGTCCCCTCGGGGTGCACCATTAGGGGTGGCTGCAGTGGCTGACGACTTACCATGGAGCGACAGAATATGACAGGCAATATTTTTCATTCACAGTGCTTCCCCATGGTCATAAATTAGACCAGCATTTGGAAGCAAAAAAGAACAAATTATTATGATCAGTATAACTAGTAGTAATCTGGTTGCAATAAACCATCAAGTCCACAGGAGAGCTAGCGGGAGAAGGATCAGGTAGAGAGAAAAAGAGAAATGTTTCATCTTTGTCTACAAAGGTATACTTTATCAACATGTAGGTCATAGCAGAAGAGAAAAGATTTTTTTCTGGAAAAAAAGCTTAGAAGTAAGTATATTTCAGAAAGGGATAAAATTATAAACTATATTTATCAGTTAATTAATTCTTGATGAGGTCCTGAACCAAGACGGTGGAGTAGAAGGACATACTCTCACTCGCTCTTGCGAGAACACCAGAATCACAACTAGCTGCTGGACAGTCATCAACAGGAAGACACTGGAACTCACCAAAAAAGATACCCCACATCCAAAGACAAAGGAGCAGCTGCAATGAGATGGTAGGAGGGGCGCAATCACAGTAAAATCAAGCCCCATATCTGCTGGGTGGGTGACTCACAGACTGGAGAACACTTATACCACAGAAGTCCGCCCACTGGAATGAAGGTTCTGAGCCCCATGTCAGGCCCAACCTGGGGGTCTGGTAACAGCAGGAGGAATTCCTAGAGAATCAGACTTGGAAGGCTAGCGGGATTGGATTGCAGGACTTCCACAGAACTGGGGGAAACAGAGACTCCACTCTTGGAGGGCACACACAAAGTAGTGCGCGCATCAGGACCCAGGAGAAGGAGCAGTGACCCCATAGAAACTGAACCAGACCTACCTGCTAGTGTTGGAGAGTCTCCTGCAGAGGCAGGGGGTGGCTGTGGCTCACCATGGGGACGAGGACACTGGCAGCAGAAGTTCTCGGAAGTATTCCTTGGCGTGAGCCCTCCCAGAGTCTGTCATTAGCCCCACCAAAGAGCCCAGGTAGGTTCAAGTGTTGGGTTGCCTCAGGCCAAACAACCAACAGGGAGGGAAACCAGCCCCACCCATCAGCAGTCAAGCAGAATAAAGTTTTGCTGAGCTCTGCCCACCAGAGAAACAGTCAGCTCCACCCAACACCAGTCCCTCCCATCAGGAAACTTGCACAAGCCTCTTAGATAGCCTCATCCACCAGAGGGCAGAGAGCAGAAGCAAGAAGAACTGCAGTCCTGAAGCATGTGGAGCAAAAACCACATTCACAGAAAGATAGACAAGATGAAAAGGCAGAGGGCTATATACCAGATGAAGGAACAAGATAAAAACCCCAGAAAAACAACCAAATGAAGTGGAGAGAGATAGGCAACCTTCCGGAAAAAGAATTCAGAATAGTGGTAGTGAAGATGATCCAGGACCTCGGAAAAACAGTGGAGGCAAAGAAAGATGGAGATGCAAGAAATGTTTAACAAAGACCTAGAAGAATTAAAGGACAAACAAACAGAGATGAACAATACAATAACTGAAATGAAAACTACACTACAAGGAATCAATAGCAGAATAACTGAGGCGGAAGAACGGATAAGTGACCTGGAAGACAGAAGGGTGGAATTCACTGCTGTGTAACAGAATAAAGAAGAAAAGAATGAAAAGAAATGAGACAGCCTAAGAGACCTCTGGGACAACATTAAATGCAACAACATTCGCATTATAGGGGTCCCAGAAGGAGAAGAGACAGAGAAAGGGACCGAGAAAATATTTAAAAGATTATAGTCGAAAACTTTCCTAACATGGGAAAGGAAATAGCCATGAGATTGCCATACAGGATAAACCCAAGGAGCAACACACCGAGACACATATTAATCAAACTGGCAAAAATTAAAGAAAAATTATTGAAAGCAGCAAGGGAAAAATGACAAATAACATACAAGGGAACTCCCATAAGGTTAGCAGCTGATTTCTCAGCAGAAACTCTACAAGCCAGAAGGGAGTGGCATGATAAACTGATGAAAGAACCTACAACCAAGATTACTCTACCCGGCAAGGATCTCATTCAGATTCGATGGAGAAATCAAAAGCTTTACAGACAAGCGAAAGCTAAGAGAATTCAGCACCACCAAACCAGCTCTACAACAAATGCTTGCTAAAGGAACTTCTCTAAGTGGGAAACACAAGAGAAGAAAAGGACCTGCAAAAACAAACCCAAAACAATTAGGAAAATGTTAATAGGAACATACATATCGATAATTACCTTAAACGTGAATGGATTAAATGCTCCAACCAAAAGACACAGGCTTGCTGAATGGATACAAAAGCAAGACCCATATATATGCTATCTACAAGAGACCACTTCAGACCTAGGGACACAGACAGACTGAAAGTGAGGGGATGGAAAAAGATATTCCATGCCAGTGGAAATCAAAAGAAACCTGGAGTAGCAATACTCATATCAGATAAAATAGACTTTAAAATAAAGAGACAAGGAAGGACACTACATAATGATGAGGAGATCAATCCACGAAGGAGATATAACAATTATAGATATATATGCACCCAACATAGGAGCATCTCAATGTATAAGGCAACTGCTAACAGCTATAAAAGAGGAAATCAGCAGTAACACAATAAGAGTGGGGGGCTTTAACACCTCACTTACACCAATGGACAGATCATCCAAAATGAAAATAAATAAGGAAACAGCAGCTTTAAATGACACAGTAGACCAGATATATTTAATGGATATTTATAGGACATTCCATCCAAAAACGGCAGATTACACTTTCTTCTCAAGTGCGCACGGAACATCTTCCAGGATGGATCACATCTTGGGTCACAAATCAAGCCTCAGTATATTTAAGAAAATTGAAATCATATCAAGCATCTTTTCTGGCCACAAGGCTATGAGATTAGAAATGAATTACAGGGGAAAAAAACGTAAAAAACACAAATACATGGAGGCTGAACAATACGTTACTAAATAACCAAGCGATCACTAAAAAAAAAAAGAGGAAATTAAAAAAATACAGAGACAAATGACAATGAAAACATGACGATCCAAAACCTATGGGATGCAGCAAAAGCAGTTCTATGAGGGAAGTTTATAGCTATACAAGCCTACCTGAAGAAACAGGAAAAATCTCAAACAATCTAACCTTACACCTAAAGGAACTAGAAAAAGAAGAACAAACAAAACCCAAAGTTAGCAGAAGGAAAGAAATCATAAAGATCAGAGCAGAAATAAATGAAATAGAAACAAAGAAAACAATAGCAAAGATCAATAAAACTAAAGGCTGGTTCTTTGAGAAGATAAACAAAACTGATAAACCATTAGCCAGACTCATCAAGAAAAAAAGGAGAAGTTACTACAGAAATACAAAGCATCCTAAGAGACTACGACAAGCAACTCTATGCCAATGACATGGACAACCTGGAAGAAATGGACAAATTCTTAGAAAGGTATAACCTTCCAAGACTGAACCAGCAAGAAATAGAAAATATGAAAAGACCAATCACAAGTAATGAAATTGAAACTGGGATTAAAAAGCTTCCAAGAAACAAAAGTCCAGGACCAGATGGCTTCACAGGTGAACTCTATCAAACATTTAGACAGAGGATAATAAAAAATAGATACGTTTGATAAATGATATCAAACATTTATATCAAACATAACACCCATCCTTCTCAAACTCTTCCAAAAAAAACTGCAGAGGAAGGAACACTCCCAAACTCATTCTATGAGGCCACCATCACCCTGATACCAAAACCAGACAAAGATACTACAAAAAAAGAAAATTACAGACCAATAAAACT